TCTAATTATAAGATATCTTATAATGTTAAGATGATAAGATAATCTTATAATTAGAGAACAAATTTAAAAACGAAACACCGTTAAGTCATTAGTAGTACCTATCATCAGTCTGTAGAAAAAATCAGCTTCATTCGTCTAACCGTAACCTAGTTATATCCGTAGAAAGTTCGTGAAAAACCGACTAAGAATTGTTTTTTTACGGAGTTATCAAATGTGCGCGATTTTTTTAAATATTTTTTAAGAGCTATTATCAACGTTTTCATTTGGTGTATAACTTATTTTCTCGAAAAACAACCTTTCAGAATTGGTACCGAAAGAAGTACCCGCAGCAGCTTAAGTCGTATGACCTGAGGCGGCAGACGATCGATTTTAGCATACTCTAATAGGGCAAAATGGAACTCCATCGGTTAAAATTTTGATCATTCTCGTTCAGTGGATTTCGTGCTAGCTCCCCTACTAATAGTTGCATAATCGTAGGAACTACTCGTACATGTTGTGCTACTATGGTCTCTATTTCGGATGAGTGTAACTATTAAAAAACGTCATTTTACCATTAATTTTGTTGGAGGAAGACACTTCTAGAAACAGTATTAGGTAGTTAATTTGGAATATCCGCATTAATCAGACGTCAAATTCAATGATATAAGATTGCAATAAGACCTCAACCTCACTTCCATGTTTATTCTTTTCAATCGAAAGGAAGCTATCCTAGAGATGATCTACCTAAATGTGTCACAAAACAAATTTAAGACTTTAGGTACCTTCAAATAAAAATGAAAAAGTAAAATGGACGCCCATGAATAGACATTATGTTGTAAGATCACTCGCCTTAGTTTCATTAAATTTGAAATACCCAATTCTATTTCTAATGGAAGTAAACAAAACACAGACCTTGTATAGTGGTAATAATTAATAATTAATAATTAATGGCTATTATAAACTTAAAACTTTTTCGAATGGTTATATAAGTTATTTGTTGTATAATAATATTTGCAATTATATTTATAGTTCTCCGATATAGTACATCTTCCCTTAGTTTTAATATCTAATTATAGTTTTACGTTTTAGGATTTGACGAGAATGCGGATACCTCGAACGAAATTATATTCTAATTAACAAATCTGAAGAAGTTACGTCATTGAAATCATACTATAAATCTTATTATTTAAATTTACGTTCTAAAACATTTGATTACCGGGGATCAAAATTTGAAAATGTCTGCTGATATTTGACATATATAGATAAGCTCATTAAATAATTCTTGCTAATAGTAGTTAATTGAGGTTATTAAGTTAATTACATGTGATTTTCAGTAAATTTTGCCATCATCTTAACATTTCCAGTAGTTGTTTTGCTATACTGCACTACCTTCAAAACTGGTTCTAATTTATCTATAACTAGGTATACATATTTTTTATAAAAATTACCCTAGTACCTAGTTATACACATATAAATTCAATATGATTTTATTTTGTCATGCAAGCTTAGATTGTAGGGCATCGAATAAAAAAATGATTAACATAGTATTTACCATTGTATTTAAAAATATTAAAATACAATGATAGTAGGTATAGTTTTATATGAAAATTGAAAATTTATAATTTTAAAAGACGATTTCGGGTAAAATTTAAGTCAGTAAAATGACACTACTTGACTCGAAAATTAAAGTACTCGACCCCACAATATTTCTTCGCCAGTAATTAACATTTTCCTGACTTTTATGTAAATAACTTGATCGACTCCTCTTTGCTGCAATAGCGCACCCAACTTGATGCGCTAAAAATACAAATCTGTGTACGGAGTAAACTTTTGTCGGTCGACTTCTACCGAAATGTTAAATTGACTTTGAGCATACATTTTTATACAAAATCCCCAAAATGATCGACTCCTGTTTGTACGCAATGCAAAAATTTAAAATAATTTACATTTATCGATTAGTCGAAATTTTCCAAATACAGTCACATAACTATAATCTCGTTGAATTGGCGGCACAGTTTTCCGAATGGAAAATCCGAAAATGGCGGTACTTACAGAACTCACTTGAGGCGGTAAAAATGCAAAAGATACCCACAAAATCAGGCTTTTACCAAAGGCGGCTACAGACATGTAAAAGTTGTCAAATATCAAATGTTTATCAATCGCCAAACTGTTTGTCCAGCTAGTCGTAAAATCACGAGTAGGTATAAATATACACACATATGGGCATATTTGGCAAATGGCAAATCAAAACGGGAACTTCAAACTTATTGTGCTAGTATGTACCTACTCTAGTTCGCTTTCACGATGCAAGTAGAATTTGTAGCTGCTATATTATTTTACTGTTATAATATAACTACTGCATATCTATTATTTAAAAAAAAGAAGACAGCACTAAGAGCTCATATTATGGGTTCCTTTTCGGACAGTTCTAGAAATTCGATCTCGGTTTCGTTCGTCCACTCCATCGAGCACGCAATAGGTACAATACATGATACTACAATAAAAGTATCATGGGTACAATATAATAAATGAATTGTGCCCAAATGTGCACAGATTAACAGATTCATATTCTTTAATACGCATAATTAGTCATCAAGGTGGTCGCAATTGCAACTTCTGCCAAGCCCGCATATGTGTATCAGCAACAAGTTTGCTTTTTGACGAACATTTCAGCCCTTTGATGTGTGCTTATTTACCGACAATCGCCGGGAAATTTTTGAAATTTGGCAAATCTAGAACATTTGCTTTAACTCATATGTGTATCTAAGCTATTTGTCAAATGGCAAACATTTGCTATTTGGAATTCGTCAAACTTCCCATGTCTGTAGCCGCCTTTTATGAAGAAATTCAGAGTTTGGAGAAGTGGAATTGGAAATTCCCAGCTCCTCGCTGTATTTACGACTAAGTAAATCAATTCAAATTAATTCGGTTTTTAATCACGGCCTGCAAATATCGAACAAAATATCAGATGAACATCGGATTTCACGTTTTTTAACCGCGCTCATTAAAACTCATTCATTAACCATGCTTACCCAATTAGCGCATTCAAACTTTAATACTCATTAATCCAATTAACCCCTAGGTCTGATTGTAATTTCCGAAGGCAACAACTGTTGAAGTCATCTGCATCGTGGCATGTCTGCAAGATTGATAACGTCTAAATGTGTAACGATTTGGAACTCGTTTCTACTGGTTTTCGCTTATTACGGGAATCTAAAATGCGTAATAACGAATTAACGGCGCTAAAATCTTGAAATATTAAGCGCACCACAGACTTCCGACTCGTTCGTCCGATTTGTAGGACGTGTAAATCAATTGGCACGATAGAACAAAAAATCGGAAGTTTGTGGGTGTAAAATATCAACTGACTCCCTTCTTCCCTAGCAAGACAGCATTCGGCGGATGCAAAAAAAACAATCCAAATATTCCTCCCTGAACGGTTTGAATCCCCGATAAATTCATTACAAAACTTACGTGCTTAGCGGCGGTACAATAAACAATTACACAAAAATGTAAACACATTGATCACAACTCACTCCTCAAGCAAATAATTAAATCCCGGATCTCTTTCGTAACGAAGCGACAAACTCGATACCGGGTGATCAGCAAAGCTAGTCGACTTCACAAAGATACGGTGTGGTCATAATTTCGGGTATGACCTCCTAGGCGGAAAACAGGTGCTTCGTTACACGAACCTTTAATTGAAAATGAATAAGATTCATAAAAAAAATTCATATAATTTCGTTTCGAAAGTCTGGCGAGGAATTCTATACGCGATTCAAAAATGCCATAGTTTTGCCTCGAAGGCTCGGCGAAGAATATTGTACTCTCTCCTACCCGACTTATGTACTCGCCGAATCATACACCAGTAACAAACCTAACGCAAAACAGAGCTCTTCTATGTTTTTAATGCATGTGAACGTGTAGCAGAATCGTCGTCCCTCATACAACGTTAGAACGGTTTTTAGTACCGGCAACGCTGTGGCGTTTCGACTCTTACTCTGTTGCACACTCGCTTGTTAACTTTACGCGCTTTATTTTCTCGCATATTAGTTCTGTTCTCTTTCATTATGAAGCGGTTCACGTATAAACTTTCCTATACTGGCAAATTTGTAAAATCAATACCAACATTTTCTGAGCCTAAAGCGACCAACTGTTACACATTGTGAAACTCAAAATTAATTTTACTACTACGAACGTAATTTGGACGATTTGGTCTTTTACCTTAGCGACACTAATAATGAACTTTAATATTATTTGAATTTACTAACAGTTTTCTTTGTTGTAATTTCGTGTGACACATGAACTCAATTCAACTCCCTTTTACTTTATTCTACTGCGCCAATACGTGCTCGGTTCGAGTAATCTTGGTGGGTTCACAATAATTCAATGTTGCAAAGTCAACTTCGATGTCGAATTTAAAAAAAGACCCGTTATTAGTTATTTTTACCAGAAGCTGTTTAGTACTAATGAAGTTGAAGCCTCTCAAGAAAAATAAATTGTTTTAAAACATTTGGAAATTTTATCCATACCATCCAAATTATGGGGAAAAAACCGACTTTCTGGCTGTATAACGGGTGTTCCAAATAAAATTAACTACATGATTCGTTAACGTCGTTCGACTCTCTTGCAACTCCCGACAAAAATTAAAAATTTTTAAATACCTATTGTGTTTTTCAACAAATTAAAACAGCGTCGTCGTATTGGGTGGTCAAACATACACTTTTATCAAATAAATCGAGGATCCAACGTGTTTCGTTTGAGAGCCAACCTCATAAAAGTGGTGAAGTGGTCATATAACGTCATATCTCGATCTAGAAGCTTTTGGACGACCAAAGTCGATTACGTTTCAAAGACGCGCGCCTTGCTTTTGCAAATTGCAATGGTCAGTTTTGCCACTATGTGCAAATGCCGCCTGCTCCCTGCTTCGAACACGTCCTACCAATTGCCATGGAAAAGTATGACGGACTTTAATGCTGTCCGTTTATTAGTCGTTAGTGCATTAGTGGTAAGGCAGCAATGAAACTGAAACATTTCCATGATTGTTATTAGCATATTCAATTAAAAATTAATGATGGGTAATATTTGCAACAAAATAGTTACATTTTAAATGCTAATGCCATGGACATAGGATATATAAACGTGTGTGCAATCTTTTTCAAGTAATAAAAAAATACTATGGGAACGTGGATTATATCTCAATTTAGATGTGCATTGCGTAAGGTGTCATTGAAATCTGTCTGTCCGATGGTATTGAAGATAAAGCAGCGGTCAGACTTTTTGAAAAAAACACTTTGTGTCCAATTCCCCCGACGAGAGTGAAGGAAATTTGTCTTGTCGTTTAATTACTTTAAATAAGAGAGGCCGACGTGTGTGTGTAATTTGTAATTGGTCGGCGAGTGCTGACGCACGCCGCATCAATCGTGCGCATATGCTGCTTAGTGCTTAGGCAAGTTTTATATCACAGGATTCGATGATTACGTTTAAAGCAGTACGAGTGACGATCTAGTAAAATATCAAACGTTGCTTCCGCTAAAGTTCTAATTTAATCGTTTTACTGCAGTTTAAGCCGTCACTAGAGCAGTTGGTGAGAGGAAGAATGACTTAACAGAATTGGTGAACAATTAAAAGTGATACGCGCGCGTTAATAAAAATTATGCGGTCGAATTTGATGAACATGGCGTGCTCGATTTGAGCCAAGGCGGTCATAAAAAACCCGCGCGGTATTTCGTGACCTTTTCTTATCGCGGCTTAAAATAATTTTTACAAACATAACAAATTTGTGTTTGGCGCTAGATCGGGTTAATTAAACGTACTTACGTTGCTGTTTATTTGAATGTCAGCGTGTTGCTAGATGGGATTTCATTTCATTTAACCTTCAGATAATCGGTTATCCACTTTATGCTATCGTTAATAAATTTGAAGTGAAACGTGTGAATTTCTTGGACTAATAGTAGATTCTTCAAGTCGCCGGATGTTAGATCTTTGATATGGGATTATACGAAGGTACTACTTTTTGTGTTACTTAATTTATAATCTTTTGAGTAAATTATCAAATTCTAAAGATAAACTGCAAATTTAAAAAACCAATTTTTAACAGAACAGGTCCCATTGCTTTTAGTTTTACCTGTTTAAAAATAAATACCTAAGTAGCATTTTCCCGCCTTCCTTATTCTAGAACAGATGTTTGGCTTTCTTTGCATTTTGCATCATTTTAGTATTATTCAATTAGAATTAGAATTACGTTTTGTATATACCTATTTAACTTCAAGTAATAATCTCGCAGTAATTCCATATTATAGACTTAGGGGTAAGTGGTACGCATAAAATGGCGTTGAGTGAAAGAACCTATCCACCCTTAGTACTTACTTGAACCATTGAATAATAAATCTGAATTCAGATTTATTATTCAATGCTTGAACGAACAATTATTCTTTAGTAACATCATAGGTATTTCACCTGGATTGTGTTTTTACGAGTCTTTTTATTAGTAAATACATATTAAGACTTGGAAATTAAACAAGATTTGGCTGATTACCTAACGAATCCGAGCTTAGTCCTTAAGTATCTGGTTGCCAAAAACAGAATGCAAAAATTCGTGTTCGTTCTCGTTATCGCGCGGAAAGATGGACGAACGCACACACAAACGGAGGCGGGCTGGGTACTGTTTACTGTACTTGCAGGCCAAGTGGAATACACATAATTACATAAAAACAAACAAAATTCCATACCAATACAAACAAACAAAAATGAAAAAATCGAATAATTTGAGCGCATTTTCCATGAATTTATCGTGATTTTATTTAAACAAATTAAAAATTAAAAATTTCTGAAGATTAAAAATTCATAATAAATAATAAATTTCTTCTATGGGATCGCAGTTGGAAGCGTCCGCATTACCACGTTGCCACGTTGTATCGCAATTCTTTGCCGTAAGTAAGTGGTAGCTCGAGGTTCCCCAGTAGGTAATGTTGGTAATGCGTTTTCCCAGGGATTCCACAAAATTACAAGCTTTTCTACACCAAGGTCCAAATGTCTCTACTGCGAAAGGTATAAAAAAATATGGTTCTGTCCATTATTGATCAGTACTTCATGTAACGTACAAAAGAATACAGGGAGATCAATAATCATATGCTGCGCCGCTCTTATAAAAACATTAGTAATCATTTGCCGCAACCAGGTATATGTGTACCAATACAAAACATAACCTATAATTTTACAAACCAAAACCATGATTTGTGATTCTTATTCGAATACTTTCGTCCCTTTCAAAACGGCTTTTTTCAAGACTACCACTTTCTTTCGAATATTTACAAGGTGGGTAAATTACTCGTAAATTACAAACAAACGTTTTTTTAGTTGTAGCGTGTAATAGGCAATAGGTTTACTCCGACAAGCCTTTTACTTTAGAAGAGAATAAGATGCGTTTGCTGTCCTGTTTCCGTAATGGGACTAAAGACGAAAGTGGAGTTTGGGAGTACTCGATACGTTTGTGTATACAGGAGTTTCGATAAACGATTGTCAACCATGATGAGGATTACAACAATATACGCCGAAATGCTCATCGTCTACTTGAGCGGTATAACATACAGGAAGTCTTGCTTCTGGGAAGTCACCTGGCCGCTTAGTGATTGCTAATAAGGAGGTTGTAAAAGATGTTCTTGCTCGTCTTGAGCAAAGTCGGAAAAAGCAGCTGCGACAATTTGTCCCACTAACGGGCATCTCATACGGAACGTGTGACGCTATTGCCTGGAGAAAATTGTACTTCTATCCTTTAAAGTAACCGTGTTACAAGAACTCATCGTCCAGACTTGCAAAGCCGTTTAAATTATTGCATGCAAATTTACGAGATGGCAACGTATTCGAAATCGTTTACACACCATTACCGAATTCCGAGCAGGTATAGAAGCTGCCGTTTGAAACATTACGGCTTCGAAAACATGAAGAAAAGAGTGAATCCCTGTCTTAATAATGGTGGCGAGCACTTCGAACAGTTGTTATAGTGTGCATGTAATTTACCCAATTACTTCGATATTAACGAGTTGTAAAAGAAATAAAATCGTTTCAATTTTTGTAGTAATTCGTTATTCGTGTAGTTCCACATAATTTGGAAACTTACAAGGTGGTTAAATCGTTGATTTAGGTTAAATATGGTTAAACGTCAAAAGTTTACTTTAAGGTTATGTTTTAGTATTGGTGCACCAGGCCTGTTGCGGCAAATGATTACTAACGTCATAATTTATTGAAGCGGCGCAGCAACTCAATATTGATCGCACTGTATAAGATATGGCATATTCTTATAAATAAGAAGTTTAGCATTGCTCTCCTGATTTTTAAAATATGCGATATGCTTGCCTTTATTAGAAGAATCATTGGTTAAAACTTAAAAAAAATCTCTATAAATAAGAAAGTTGACATTGCACACATTAAACCTCGCATTAAACTAATCGTCAAGATTTTTCTTGGTTGGGGTGCTAGAGCTATCAGCTACAGAATCCAAAAAGAACCAACTTTGAAAACTGTAGGAGTAGTTAGGCCTCGGACTGACGGAGAAAGTCGCACCTTCCAACATGAGTTGGAAAATGGGCTAAAAAATAATATCTTTAGTAATTTCTGATCAATTATTTGGTGCAATACTTACTGAATTTTTATATGGTAGTATTTTGTTTTGTTTAAACAATGCATATTCCGAGGTATATTCCATTCAAGGTTGTTATAAGTCGTGAATTTGATAAAGACGTTTTTGAATTAATTCGCTGTTTCTTTCGTTTCTTCTTATTGCAGCTAACGACACTTCCTCTTCTTCTTCGGAGGATCCTGATCCACTATTTTATATAATGGTATTTACCTCTTGCATACGGCCTTCTTATAGGTTGAATTTTGTTTATTACACTCCTCAAAATATTTCCAAATCGGATCTCTTTTACGTCTACTCATTTCTCACACTTTTAGTCCAGACTATAGGTATATTTTTTGACAACAAAATTAGTTCCCAGATACTTATTCCTCGACTTATTCCAAGAAAAACAGGAAAAATTAAAAAATAAATAAAATTCGCTCGTTGGACGCAGAGTTAATTCGTTTAACCGTCTCCCGAACGAAATCGGTGAGTAAATAAGGATGTTGATATTTTGTTTCATAATACATATGAATACCTACCAAAACTATGAAAAAATCTTCACCTGTACCCCGTGTTAAAAAGAAATTAAAAAAATTGTTTTATTTCTGAAAGAGTAGATATCTGCAAAAAAACAATTTTCATTTTTATTTTTTGACAGATACCAACATTTTTTTTAAAATACGGACTTGGATTTTTTATTTCAGTAAGTAAAAGTAATAATGTAAAATCTACTGCTATCTCTTTTAGTACAAGTTTCTTCAAAAATGAAGAGCAGGCATTGAGTTCACAAAATAACAAGCGTACATTACTTCTGATAACAATGGTGTTATATGAAAAAGAAAAAATGAAAAAAATCCCGTGCCATATTAAATAAATAACGTTGATGTTTGTTTTGTTTTTATTTCTTTTCAACAACTTATTCAGCATTCAGATGCGCAACTTTGCCTCCGAGTCTCCACCTCTTTTAGGTACCTACCAAGACGGTAATACTCACTCTTCGAATTTGTAACACCCTGTATATGTGTGTTATTCAGATTGGGAGCTTCGTTAATTTGATTTGTTCGTCTACTCAAAATAATGTACTCGATGTTGTATGAAAGGTCCGAAAGTCAAATTTCCATATAAAGATTGTGCATTGTTTATTTTGTAAGATCAACTTCGCAACAAATTCAAATAAAACGGTTCCAGTTTACCATATAAAGAATGAAACATCAAACCAACACGGTAAACTTAGTTCTGAACACACTGTACTCGTACAAATATTTAACTATTCTATAGCAGTACACGATTTATTTTAAATACCTACTCTATGGTTTTCAAGCTTAACGTAAAATATAAACAAAACGGATTAATGCAACTTCACATTTACTTTGAAAATTTTCACGTGTTTGAATTCTGTTGTATTCTTTTCTCAGGGGATGTCGGCCAGGCACCACATAGTCACACCAAGGTCCTTTCTTTCGCAACTAGGTTCAGAGCCCGTTCCTCTCAATAAAGGATAGGACCTTGTATAGCGTAACTTGTTTCACCCTCTCCGGTTACAGATAACTGTCGCCAAGGAGCCACAGTTTGGTCATTTCATCTGCCTCGCTACAGAACCGGCACGTAGGCCTATAAGCCCAATGTTGTGCAGGTGACCACTCAGTGCCCCATAAGGACATCGGTAATCTTCCTAATCTGGGTCTTATTCAGTTTTAGAAGCTTAGAAGTTTCAGATTTGCCAAGGGGCCCTGTTAAAAAGGCCCTTGGCTGTCTGAATTCGGTTGCTTGTTGCCACCGAGCCTGGAATTGACTGGTTACCCAGTCTTTCATCCTCCTATAGTAGGCTCTGACCCGACGAAGATCCCACCACTGTCTTCACGAGTCAGCTCGTCCGTCCTATCGTTGCCCCCTATTCCGCAATGCGCTGGCACCCAGATCAAGCTTACCCAATTAGACTCACCTATTCTCGCTGATGTCAGCTCTCGGTCGATCACCATTCCCGTTCCCCTTTCCGTTAGAAACTCGTCTGTAAACCACACGAGCCCCTCGGGTTTGAGGAACGGACATTCTGAGTACAGCCACTGATCCCTGTCCGGGAGAGTGAGCTTATATGGTTCTTTGTACGACAGGCCGGATCACATCCCTTCCTGCGAGAGGGGATCGGATCTGAGGGTTTCCTCCCCGATCCGCTCGTGTCCAAGGCCTCCTCGATCCCAATCGTTTAGACGTATGGCATGGACTCTCGGATTTTTTGTTTTGTTGTAATTTCGGTTATCCAGAGTTATAATTTGCTTAGAGGGGTTCCCAATGGGGTACGATTTGAAATTTTAAAAAAATATGACACTTCGAAGGTCAATTCAAAGGTTCACTGTCGCGCCGGGGCGTGTAGTTTCTCTAAATAATA